CAGTAAATGCCCAAACCCTACAGAACTGGTGCCTTCAGAGAGCCACTACATTTACATATTTGGCATCCCTGAACGGCTATGAATCATTACAACAGTAAAGCAACTGAAATGTCAATTAAGTAAATAAAAATTAGAAAACTCATAATAAAATAAGAACAATTAAAGAGAACACAAAAAAGAAACATAAATAGAAAGAACAAAGAACCACTTTAACTAAAAGCAAAATTAAAAAAATATATTTTCAAATGTTTTTTAAAACAATGTACCGAGCTTAATAAAAAGTGGTAGTGAGTTTCATAATTTAGAAGCATAAAAACAAAAAGCAGCCTCTCACTTCTTTCTGTATTTTACATGTGGTATCTGCAGTAGGCCAGTATGTGCAGATCTCAGGTCACGTATAGGAACATATGAAGACAGACATTCAGTAAGGTAGAGACGTGCTAGGTCGTTTAAAGCTTTAAAAACAAGTAAAAGAACTTTCAAATTTATCCTCGTTAATAAAGGTGACCAGTGAAGGTTTTTCAAAACAGGAGTGATATTCTCTTTCTCGTATTTGTTAGGATCTGTGCTACTGCATTTCGAACAAGTAGTAAGGGATTTATAGTTTTCTTGGGAAGCCCACAAAACAGAGCATTACAATTATATCCACATCAATGTGAGCAATGGAGAAGTCAAATTAACGTGTCTAAATATCATCTAGTTCTATCCCATGGAAGAGGGCTGTTGCCTACTCAGATGACAAAACACAAAACGCTCAACTCTGCAAAACACGCATAAGGACATCAGTCAGGAGGAACAAGGTAAAGTGTTTTTACTTCTTCACCATGGTCATGAAGTTTCACTCCAAGCACTGTCATATGAAATAACTGTGGAAACGACCTCCCCAACATTTTGGGTTGTTGCATTTTGCTTCAATGAATTTTAACCTTTTCTTTTAGACATTAAGAGGAAGGACACATTCACCCTTGGTAGAGATTCAGTTGTTCTTTGAGATGTCAAGGTGAGAATTAACCACTTCAGGTATAAGTCAATCCACATGACTGAAAAAGGGGCAATGAACAGGATATGGGGCTTCTTCTAGCTATAAAGTATAATAATCATCATTAAATGATCTAAGACTACTGAAGTATAAGCTGTGTCCCTGACTGAATAATTAGCAAATTCATCTTTGTAGAGTGCAGCTACTGTACAGTATATTCAGTGGCATTTCCTTAAAACAACTGTATTCCGACATTCTGAATATGGAGTGAGATAATGTAGAGAATGTTGGACTTGTAATAACTAATTGAATAATAATAATAATCAATGAAAGTATTTAAAAGTATCAACAAATGCCTTCAAAGTACTTGACATGTACTTTGCTTTCAAAAGTAAAATGTAATTAATGCTTACGGAAGAGTTCTCTTGACTTCTCAGGAGTCTACTAACTCCAAGGACAAGTAACATCACAAACCATTATTACATGATGTTGGAGCTGCAATACTACTTACAAGACAAAAAATGATACAGGTAACACTGCTTTCAGATTTCTAAGAATTGCTAAAATAGTATGTTTACAGAGCATTCAG